ACAAATTTTTAGCAGCAGGGAATGGACCACACATTTCGTTAACTCTCAAGAAATTGTCAATCAAATGAAACAGTAGAGGAAAAATCAAACTAGAATTCCATTAAGGGGATTACAGGCTAACTATACAGACAACTTCAGTGGAGTATGTCTAGAAAAATCCAAAGAAATCTGGATTTATATAACAGACAGGAAAGAGAAGTTGTTGAAAATGAACAGGACAGGCTACTTTTGAAGGCAAATGTATAAAAATAGGACATATAGTTAACATTCTAGAATTTCACAAGCAGTACCTCATGACCCACAAAAACTCCTTTTTAAAAAAGATTTATTTATTTTTATTGGAAAGGCAGATATACAGAGAGGAGGAGAGACAGAGGGAAAGATCTTCAATTCAAAGGTTCATTCCCCAAGCAGCTGCAAAGGCTACAGCCTAGCCAATCCAAAGACAGGAGCCCAGAGATTCTTCGGGGTCTCCCATGCAGGCACAGGATCCCAAGGCTTTGAGCCATCCGTGACTGCTTTCCCAGGCCAAAAGCAGGCAGCTAGATGGGAAGCAGGGCCTACAGCTAGAACTGGTGCCCATACGGGAAATGGGTGCATTTAAGGTAAGGGCGTTAGCCACTAGACTATCGCACCCAGCCGCCTAAGAATTCTTTACCTAGTCATCCTAAAGCAAAATGCTCAACTTTGATATAGCAGATATTAAAATATTGACTGAGCAATGGCTGCCAATCAACAAACTAAATACACAAAATTTTTCATCACCCCATCTAAAATGTATACAAATAATCACCAAAAATATGAGAAGCTTGATAAAGAGACCAAAATAAAGCAACTAAAAAGGAAAAAAAAAAAAAAACAGGCCATTTAACAAGATGATATTTAAATTAGTTTGAAAGGTTCTTAACAACTGTTTTTCAGCAGCAGCATCATGGACTTGGGAAAATTCACAAAAGACACTTATTATGAAACTGGAAGGGGAGAACAGAGGGAAGGGGACGGAAATGGGGAAGAGGGAAGGGAGATTCAAGCACCAACTAAATTGCAACAAAAAACAATTAAAAAAAAATCATTTCTACCAAAGGGAAAAAAACAACTCTTTTCGCCTGTTTCTCTTATTTCTATTGATATGTAAGTCCAGATTTTTCTGTGATTCTATTTTTTTTACAAGATTTATATTATTATTTTATATTGGAAAGTCAAATATACAGAGAGGAAGATCCTCCATCTCCTGATTCACTCCCAAGTGATTGCAATGGCTGGAGCAGAGCGAATTCGAAGCCAGGAGCCAGGAGTCTCTTCCAGGTCTCCCACATGGGTGCAGGGTCCCAAGGCTTTGGGCCGTTCTTGATTGCTTTCCCAGGCCACAGGCAGGGAGCTGGATGGGAAGTGGAGCAGCCGGGACATGAACTGGCACCCATATCCTAGCACGTACAAGGTGAGAATTTAGCAATTGGACCATTATGCCATGCCTTCAAAAATATTTTTAGTCGGGCCCGGCGTGGTGGCGCAAGTGGTTAAAGGTCCTCGCCTTGCACGCCCGGGATCCCATATGGGCGCCAGTTCTAATCCTGGCAGCCCCGCTTCCCTTCCAGCTCCCTGCCTGTGGCCTGGGAAAGCAGTCGAGGACGGCCCAGGGCTTTGGGAACCTGCACCCGCATGGGAGACCCGCAAGAGGCTCCTGGCTTCGGATCGGCATAGTATCGGCCCGTTGCGCTCACTTGGGGAGTGAATCATCGGACGGAAGATCTTCCTCTCTGTCTCTCCTCTCTGTATATCCGCCTTTCCAATAAAAAAATAATAAAAATAAATCTTTAAAAAAAAAACATAAAAAATAGTTTTAGTAAAATTAGAAAAAACATAAAGCACACTATTGAGTAACAGAAGTTCCAGCAAGAGCTTCTGGAAAACAAATGGAGACACAGTGATGAGACTTTAAATTAAATTAGCCCTTCAAATGTCCGGCACAAAAACTGGAAAAAAAAACCTGAAGGAAAAAAATCATCATATGTGCACATATTTTTGTGAAATGTCTCAGAATTCTAAGCTGAAGACCCTCAAAGCTCTAACTGCCTCACAAGGTAACAGATGATATTTTACAAACTAAGAGTGAGATGTATCTCCTAATTCATTTGATGTCATAAACCCTAGAAGACAGTAAAGCGATACCACAGAGCTCAAAGGAAAAATCATGTCCAACCAAGAATATAATACCTATCCAAATTAGTAACCCAAGCAAGAAGGCAAAAATCAAGTCATTTAAGGTATGAAAGAATGTCAAATTTATCTCCCACAATTGTTGCTGAGGGAACTAATAGGTTCCCAAACAAACAAATAAAAGACTGGCAAAAAAGAAGTAAAATCACTAGTTTATAACAGTAGTATTAACTTATTAGTCTACTGAAATAAAATTGTATAAAGAACTAGAAAACAACTTTAGGGAACAACTGGTCCTAGCATTGTGATGCAGCACAGTTAAGCTGCTGCCCACAACACTGATACTTCGTGTGAGTGCTGTTTCCAGTTCTTTATACTCCACATCCCATTCAGCTCTGTGCTAATACACTTGGCAAAGCAGCAAAAGATGGCTCAAACAATAGGGCTCTTCGAACCACATGAAAAACCCAGGAGTTTTACACTCCTTGGTTTGTCTGGCCAGACCCAGTAATTTTAGCTATTTGGGGAGTGAACTAGTGGACAGAACTCTCTGTCCTGGACCAATGGCTGAATTAGCTAACACCGTGACTGCAAGTGCCAGAATAGCATATGGGTGTCAGATTGTGTCCTGGTTGCTCCACGTTCTATCTAGCTCCTTGCTTTTGGCTGAGAAAGTAGCAGGGGTTGGCACAAAGCCTTGGGATCCTGCACCTGCAAGGAAGACCAAAACAATCTCCTGGTTTAGGATCAGCTGAGCTTTGGCCAGAGTGGCCATTTGGGGCATGAGCCATTGGATGGAAGATCTTTATCTCCATTTCTATTTCTCTCTGTAAATCTTTCAAATAAAAATAAATAAATCTCTTTTTTTTCTTTGAAGAAATATCTGGGCCCGATGTAATGACTCCTAGCTAATGGGTCCTAGTTCATGTCCCAGCTGCTTCACTTCCCTTCCAGCTTCCTGCTTGTGGTCTGAGAAAGCAATCAAGAACGGCCCAAAGCCTTGGGACCCTGTACCCATGTGGGAGACCTGGAAGAAGATCATGACTCTTGGCTTTGGATGGGTTCAGTTCTGGCCACTGCAGCCATTTGGAGAGTAAACCAATGTATAGAAGATCTTTAGGTCTCTCCTCCTTACAAATCTGCCTTTCCAAGAAAAATAAATAGATCTTTAACATTTATTCATTTTGTTATTAGAAAGGCAGATATACAGAGAGGAAGATCTTTCGTCCACTGATTCACTCCCCAAATGACTGCAACACCTGGAGCTGTGCGAATCCGAAGTCAGGAGCCAGGAACTTCCACCAGGTCTCACATGCAAGTACAGGATACCAAGGATTTGGGCCATCCTTGACTGCTTTCCTAGGCCACAAACAGGGAGCTGGATAGGAAGCGGGGTTGTCGGGATTAGAACGGGTGCCCATATGGGATCCTGGTGCGTTAAGGCAAGGACTTTAGCCACTGAGCTACTGCGCTGGACCCAAAAAATAAATAAACATAAAGAAAAATTAATCAATCTCTTTCTATAATTCTGCCTTTCAAACAAATAAAATAATTTTAGTAATAAATTCCATAGTAATTATATCAGCATATAAATATACATAAAATCAAAAATAGAAATGTGATATCTTTGAAAATAATTTCAGACATTTAATTTTAAGGAGCATTTAGATAAGGGAAAGCAATTTATGAATAATAGGTAGATCATAATGGAATTTTGTTGGTTACTTTTCACTTTTTAGAAAGACATAAAACTCCAAAAGGTTTTAACAGAGTTAGCAAAACTAGAACACAGAAAGTAAACAAAAATCTGAAAACAAAAGCTTTCTTTTCCTGTGAATACAGCACGAAGTGAACAAAGAGAAACCAAATAAAGTCAAAAGCACCCACAATATAGGATTAATATTCAGAATATATAAAAATATAACCAAAGTACTGAAAATTATGCTGAATATCACTTCAAGACACACTCAATGTCCAATAAACAGTTAGATGAAGCTTAATCTCACTGTGAATCATAAAAATACATGTATTAGGACAACTAGATGCCACTTTGCAGATTAGTGAAGCTAAAAATCTTGTATTCCCTAAGCTTTAAGGCAACGGTAGAGAGACTAATAGTCATTCTCATTGTCCACTGGGTTCTGAAGGTATAAGCTATACCCTAGTTGTTTGGAGACAATGTGGCTTTAATCTTTACTGTTGAAGTAGACAGATCTCACAGCTGAGCAACCTCACTTGTAGATGCATTTTCTAGAAAATTCTTATACAACTGCACAAGGAAATATGTACCCCCACCAAAAATTTGTTACATTTTTTGATACACACAGCTGAACATATCTAATATCCACCTTCAACAGATAACATAGTATAAAAGGGATATTCAAAAAGTTCATGAAAATGTGTTATCATCAAAAAAAGTAGATTTGAAAGTGTTTCTGCACAAAAATAAACAACTTAATTCCATTTTACATGAACCTTTTGCAGTATCTTTGTATTCCTAACAAGGATGTACCATAAAGCAATAAATAACTAGAATCACATGTATAGAAATGGTACTTAATTCAAGACAGTGGAAGGATGAAAAATAATACACAATAGTTCTATGTTCAAACTCCTTAGTTCGGCTGATAAATGTGTATTATTTTGTCCCTTTCTTTGTGGCTAAAATATTTAATAGAAGCTCCTTAAAAAATATATCAAGACATATACAAAGATATAAAGCTAATACTCAAAGGATTTGCTACCATAAATCCTATCCTGAAACCGATCCCAGGATACTAATATTAAGAACTCTCATCACTTCCACCCTTAACTTATAATAGCAACTGGTAAAAAATACATACTCTGTAACAGATGTTACACTTTCCTGTCCAATAGGTCCAACTGGATCATCCTTGAATTTATCACTTGGAAGTTGAGGTGGTAAAAACTCTACATCTTTTTTCTTTGGGACCTTGTAATACTTCCAGGCTATATTAGCTTCATCTTCTTCCAAATTTACTGCTGTACCAACATAGACTGTAGGTTCTACAGTTTCCTGGAACTGAGGTGGGAAAGACTGAGACAAACTGTCTATCCTATCTTCCATTGGTTTTGAAGGAACCAAGGGATCTGGTGTTGGCATTTGATAAAAATGTTGACTCTGAGGGGTTGAAGGTGTCTTAGTCACTCCTTCGTCACCCACATCACATGGGTGAGGACTAAGAGGGGGTGGTTGAGGTGAATTTGTCATTTCACTACCATGCATTTGAGGAGTCTTTGCTACATCAGTTCGGATATTTGAAAATCTCACTTGACTGTCTGGAGCAGAAATCACAAGTCTTTGACTGGCTGAATCTGTATCCATGCCAACATCATCGCTAATAGACACACGATGGTGAAAAGGAGTCAAGGGGCGTTTCTGTGGCTTTTCACTCTTTTCTTGCTTCTCATTGGCCTTGTGCTTAGGAAGTACTTGTTGTTGACCTAAAGATGGTGCCTGTCCAGGTTGTCCAGCATTTCTTGATTTGAGATTTTTGTGCCTAAGAAATGAAAAAAAAAAAAAAGCATTAATATTCACAGTACTGCCACTGCAGTAAAGTATGTAAGTTAATATTTACAGTACTGCCACTGCAGTAAAGTATGTAAGTTAACATTCAGACATTTCAGATATGATTGACCTTAAGATGAGAACATAAAGATTTCTAAAAGTTAATTCCCTCATGTTGATTCAATAGTGACCTTGGTCGCTGAACAAATATACCTAATATTTAGTCATTTTAAGAAAAAGTAATCAAAATGTTTGAAATTTGCTCATCAATACCTTAGAGTTAGTAACTGTTATAAACGAACAGTGTTTTAGAGCTCAGTTATCACCTGTGATTCTTCAGCAAATGACTGCAAAGCAATTCTGACTTTATACTGAAGTAAAAGATTAGTCTGGAAAGCACTGGAAATGACTGACTGATGAGCTTCACACTAATCTGCCTTCTCCCAGTGATGGCAACATGCCTTGAAGTAGTTCTTCCTCATCAACATAAAGCAATTCTGAATTCAAAAACTTACACTATATACTTAAAAATCAAATAATTTCATCCACAGTTTTAAATAATATTACAGTCTGAGAATAATCTATACATAGGTGTGTGTGTATATATAAATATATATAATATCTTTTACACTAAAAATAAACTTTAAAAAAATTGGTAACTATGGTGCTTACACATTCAGTACTTAAAAGGTTTACTTTTTCCTTTTAAAGTATTTGAGCCCCTGGCACCCAAACAGGACACCCAGACTGAGTTTCAGCCTCCTTTTGTAAGTCTGGCCCAGTTCCAGTGTTTGCAGCCATTTGGGAAGCAAACCAACAGTTGGAAGATATACATGTCTATCTCTCTTTGAAACAAACTGAAGATAATTTTTTTTTTAAGTAAAGGGTCTTGAGTAGTAAAATTCAATCATGAAATAAGTTAAAACCTAAAAAATAAAAAGAACACCAAACCTCATTATTGCTTTACACTGACTATATATAAAAATATTTTAAATGAGTCAACTTTAATGGATGTCAAAAATTTAAGGTATCTTCAGCTAAAGAAAATATGTAAGAAGTAAGCATTTAAGTAAACATGGAGAGTTGATAAATACAAATTTATTGTTCAATTCTCTTATCTGTATTTGGAAAGTTTCCTAAAAGAATAGAGTTAAAATATTTTTGAGAAATTTACAAAAAGGGGCCCTGAAGCAATGACTCAGAAGCTAAATCCTCGCCTTGGAAGTACCAGTATCCCATGTGGGTGCCAGTTTGTGTCCCAGCTGATCCATTTTCCATACAACTCCCTGCTTGTGACTTGAGAAAGTATTGGAGAATGGCCCAAAGCCTTGAAACCCAATGCCTGCAAGGGAGACCTGGAAGAAGTCTGGCTTTGGATGGGCTCGGCCATTGCAGTCACTTAGTGAACCAGCAGATGCAGGATCTTTTTGTCACTCCTTCTCTCTGTAAATCTGCCTTTCCAAAAATCCAAGTAACTCTTAAAAAGTTTAAAAGAACAAGACTGAAGTATTCTAAGATTCTGACTCCCACAAAAAGAAACACACACAATAAATGCTTAATTTAATTAACGAAATAGTAAAAATAGGACATCAATCTCCTCAGAAAGCAAAGATTAAAAAAGGAAACAATATTAATAACAAGAAAGAGCAAGGAAAGCAAAAATAAACGACAATATCACTTACTTATCATTTATTCAAATAATTGAAAAGCTATTATGGTATTGTGCCAAGCATGGTTCATCAATCTTTTCAGGGACCTAACAGGGACTAAAGCTATTCTTATAATAGCATCAAGACATTATTTGCCTTTTTCACTATTTTGACACTTAGAATGATGGTGCAAAAGCAATGGACAGTAAAACTGCTGGTTACTAAACATGAATCACAACAGTGGTACCAATCATACTAGTTAATAGTTATTATTTTCTGCACTGTTATATGCTGTTTGTTGGTCTTTTAAGAATGTTAATAAAGCAAACAATTTTTATATTAAATCCATTAAAATTAATTTTTAAGAGTATCCTAGATCATAGATACACATGGAGCATGTTCAGGGGTGGAGTGGGTTGGGACAGGAAAGGTTAGAGGGAAGGAAATGTTTCTACTTTCCATTCTGCCTCTGAGGGAAGACAGAGTTTGTCCCTCAGTGTTGCCGACCTTCATATCATCTTGGGAAAGGGAGTAGTTTCATGATAATGCCCAAGTCCTTGTTGAGGCAAAACAGATCCTGGGGGAGAGATCTGATCTGTAGATAAAGGCTGGTTGGATTTACAAAGAGTAAAGGGAGTATGGCATCCAGCTTGAGACTCTAAGCTAGCTACCCTAATCTGTCTCATTTCATTCCACCCTCAGAAATTTTTCAACTTCTATAGTTACTCTCTGTTGATTAGGGGAGTAGGCTTGGCTATCCTGAGTTTTTAACTCTTCACCTCATCTCATGGATCCCTTTCACAAGCAAAATTTCCACTCATGCCAATGGCTACATCCTTCCATCTTCATCATGCTCTGAGCTGCTGTTACCTTCTTTGCACAGAGTCAACAACATAGGTGGTCTAATAATGCACCATGTACACCAAGCCCAGACCATACACCCATGGGTCCTAGTTCAGAGATCAGATACTAACCTGCTTGAGGCCATCATAAGAAAGAACATGAATGTGTTCTATTAAGTTCTTATGATCACCAAGATTTTAACTTCACATAATTCCCTTGTGCCACAAAATACACTTGAACTTTGTCCAATTATTTAAGCATTCACATTTTAAATTCACAGGTCATACAAAATACAAAGCAGGGGACCAGCTTTAGCAGTAGGCCAAATCTGACCAACTAAACATAGTTCACTAACATCATAATTGTACACAAATTATATCTTAGACTAGGTATAGATTTAATTATTTTAAATTATTAAATAATAGTTAAATATTCAGATATTCATTCTACTCACTCCATCAACAAAGCCAAACTTTCAACAATGTTACTACACTTTTTCTAATACAAAATTCTGCATGAGAACATTTAATTGATTTCAAAAGAATCTGTCATTGCGTTTAAACAAATAAAGCTAATTTAAGAAAATCCCTGGAAGGTACTCCATTCCATTGCCTCACTTCCCTGAGAAATAGCTGCGCTCATCAATTTGATCACCAGTCATAGTTTGGTATATCAAGGCCAATATTTCCCTTGACTGCAAAAATATATAATTTATCATTAATTTACAGAGTAAAATAATAAAATCATACTATTATCAAATCTCATCAAAAGGCTATAATATACAAATGCAATTACCTAAAAAATTTAAAGTATACACATTCTAACAATATATCAACAAAACAATCCATTAAAAATCTTACATTTTGGCAGTATAGCTTCAGTCCTTTTCAGAATCACATTTACAACTTTATTAGTTTCAGCTTAAAATTTCAGTTTCCCAAAAAATATTGTAAGAAGTTACTGTATAAAATTAAAACACATTTACTACCTAACAATAAGATTGTGGAAATTTTTATCTAGTATTTAATTTGTCTTTAAAATACTGAGAAAAATTTCTCAAGAACAGTGTCATCAAGAAATGCCTTGTTCCAAAGACTTTCATGACTTTCACATTACAAATTCTACCTCAGAGTACCTATAAAAGTTTACAGAAAATAATTTTGGAGCACCATTTTTTCATAATATTTGAAAACTATGAATAATAAAATAACTATGCATGGATTTCTGGAATGTTTTATACAAAAATAAGCTCATAATTTTAAATTCATTTTCCCCACAAGTTTTTGGATAAAACAGTCTTTTCAGATAAAACATAACCCAACATAACTTCTCTTTTATTTGGCTGCTAGGAAACAAAGTTTCACAGTTCACCTCTGGTAACTGTGCTTCAGGCAGGTGTCTGTATGTATTTCTACAATCAGCATCAAATTATGTAATGTTTTTCTTTTGAAATCCTAGCATACTATCTCACAAACACACACACACACACACACAGACATCAGTTAACTACTGGAAAAAAGCATACCTCAAACAACTGCAATTCGTTCTTTGTGTGGCTTCTACAAAATCCCAAGATGCTACTTTATCAGCTGTCTCTTCTTCAGACAAGCCACCCGAGGAAGCAGAATACTTTCTCCTAAGATTTCAAATTATGAAATTCTTTAAAATCATATATTTTTGTTATAATTGAATTCAAATTTTTTTAAATCAACTTTAATTAAAGTCAAATTAGTTTGTATTTTAAGTAATCTCCTAATTCCAAATATGAAACTTGGAAATACATACTTGTTCTGTGCTCTGTTCATAGTGCATTCCTGCCAAACTCTATCCACCACATGATTTGCTAATTTTCTTGGTATTTTCCCACCATGGTGGCTAGTACTATCAGAATTGAAGCCATCAGTTACCGAAGAAAACTTTACCCACTTCTGGGCAGACTGAGGATCAACTGAAACAAACAAAAAACACTCTGTAGGACAACAGAAGTAGGTTTAAAATAATATTACTGGAGTTTCTCATTCATCTGTGGTAAACTTGTTGCAGATATGATGAATCTATTTTATCTTGATGCAAAAAGTATATTACTGTTTAAAAATCTTTTGAGTATTTTTGAGATAATAAATCACACATTAAACTATTTATCATAATTAGTATCTGTGAATCTACCACTTAGCTCTGCAGAATTACTTTTTACCATATTTGCTTCAGAGCTTTTAAATTTTAAAGATTTAATCGTTTTTGTTTTTTTTGTTTTTTTTACTAAAAAGGCAGAACCACAGAGGGAGGGAAAGATCTTTCATCTGCTAGTTGTCTTCCAAGTGGCCACAATGGCCAGAGCTGAGCTGATATAAAACCAGGAGCTAGGAACGCCTTCTAGGTCTCCCACATAGACACAGGGTCCGAAGGCTGTGAGCAATTCTCCACTGCTTTCCCAGGCCACAAGCAGAGAGCTGGATGGGAAGTGCAGCAGCCAGCATATGAACTGGCACCCACAACGGGATTCCAGCACTTGAAGGGGAGGATTAGCCAGATGAACCATTGTGATAGGCCCTTTAATTTTTATATCCTCTTTTTGAAACTTGCAGAAAAGTTACAATCGCAGTTCAAAGATTCCCCTATACTTGCCAATTTAGTGTTCCATATGCCCCCAAAGCTGTAATATTAAATATTTACATATGCCTGATGGATTATTTTGGCTTTTATTCCAGGTCACAGAGATAACAATACAAAAACAGAGGCATTTACGTATTATAGAAGTACAAAATCTATTTCAAAGTGAGAGTAGAAAGATAAATTCATACATGAATACAGGCCACCTGACGTGGGAAAAATAAAAATCACAACTGGGTAGAAGAAACAGAAAAAGAGTGGTACCTCCAAGTATGCTTGAGTTGAAAAGAAACCTCTCCTCTATTTTCAGCCTCTTGTTTTAGTTGGGGGTACTATCTTAATAGGATGATCAAATGGGATTGTGTATTGCCTCTGTTGTCATGCAACAGGCCAAGTCACTGCCCATGATAACAGCATCCTACATTAGTGCCTGCTCAAGTCCTGGTCCCTCCACTTCTGATCCAGCTCCCTGTCAATATGTCTGGAAGGACAGCAAAAGCTGGCCCAAGTGCCTGGGCAACTGTATTCATATGGGACATCCAGAAGGAATTCCAGGCCATAGGCATGGTCATTCAAGGAGCGAACCAGCAGACAGAGACCCCTCTATCTTTAACCTTTTCTCCCTCTCAGTGTAATTCTTTTCCTCAAATAAATCTTAAAAAACAAAACAAAAGAAAAGGATGGATGGATGGGTTCTTACCATGTGTTCTGGTCCCAGATGAGACACAGGTGCATGCTGAGAAGGTGAGCATATCAAAAGTATAGTTAAAGAGGTTTTTTTCCTTTTTATTTTGTTTTGTTTTTAAATTCATTTTACTTATTTCAAAGATGGAGAAACAGAGAGAGACTCCCATCTGCTGGTTCATACCTCCAAATGTCCTCAATAAGCAGGGTTGGGCCAAGTTCAAGTAAAGAGTTGGGAAGTCATTCAGGTTTCCATTCAGCTATTGAGCTATCACTTGCTCCCATGATGTGCCTTACTAGGAAGCTAGAATCAGGAGCAGGGCCAGAACCTGGACTTAGGCACTCCCATATGGGAAACAGGCATTCAAAGCAGCATCTCAATCACTGTACCAAACGCCTGCACCAGCATGTTAAGAACAAAAAATTTCAATAAGGGATGTCAATTGGATGATGGTGTATCACTTTTAATTTATTTATATGTTTTTAAAGATTTATTTATTTTCATTGGAAAGTCAGATATACAGAAAAGATGAGACAGAGAGGAAGATCTTCTGTTCACTGATTTACTCCCCAAGTGGCTGCAGCAGCAGCTGGAGCTGAGCCAATCCAAAGTCAAGAGCTTCTTCTGGGTTTCCCACATAGGTGTAGGGTACAAAGGCTTTGGACCTTCCTCTACTTCTTTCTCAGGACATAAACTGGGAGCTGGATGGGAAGTGGGACTCCAGGGACACAAACTGGAGCGTATATGGGATCCTAGCGTGTGCAAGGTGAGGACTTTAGCCACTAGGCTACCATGCCAGGCCCAACTATTACTTTCTTGACTTCAATGATTAAATAAAAGTTACAAAGAGTATCTTTATTTGGGGTATACAGTGAATATATATAGAAATTATAAGGCAATGCGTCTGCAGCTTACTCAAAATGGTTCAGAGAAAGACTGATGATGATGATGAATATACACACATGTGCACGTGTGCACACACACACATACACACAGGATAACGCAGTAAATGGTAACAGTTTGGGACTCCAGAAGAGAGAGTTCTTTGTGCTATAATAGCAAACTTTTCTATATTTTCAAAGTATTGCAAGATTAAACATTTTTAAGTGTTTAGAGTACCCAAAATATGATTTATCACCAGAGACGATGAAACAAGATAGTACAATACCTGTCTGTACTTCCTCAGGAGATGTAGGTGGTGTAAGAGTAACTGAAGACATTGCAGGATCTCTTATAGAAGCAGGCACTTGATGAACACCCATGCAAGAAGCTGAACAGTGAGAGGATCCCACAGAGCTAGGAGTAGGAATGTCTGACTGAGGGACTAAAACAAAACATGCTGGGTAGATCATTCGGACACCAGCTGAAAGAAAAAACAATTGCACAGAAAAATGAACTACTATCATAACTACAATAAAATTAGTTTTAACCAAAAGTACTGTAATAGAAAAAGAGATATGAGCCTATTTATGCAAATTTATTTTAAAGATATGCTCTACTACATAAGATTTTGTTTCTGAGGGAAAAAAGCTAGATAGCAGTTTTTTTCTATTAATTCTTTCCTTCATTTTCTAACTACAAATGCGTCTGGGTTTTGATTTAGTTTTTCTTTTCTTTTCCTTTCTTTTTTTTTTAAGCATATCTCAGCAACCATAATATATTACTGCTTCTTAAAATGTATTTTACAAGTTTAACAAACGCTATCTGGGCACAACAATTTTGGATCATTTTCTGTTTTTTCTTTTTTTTTCCTCTATATCTATTTTAAAATTTCAACAAATATTAATGTTGCTTCTCCTAACCATGCTAGTAATAATGAGTTTATTGAAACTGAATATTAGTAATGTTTTCATTAAACAAACAAAAAACATTGAATGAGGAAACCTTCATACGGAACACTGATACAGATTGCAACAAATATAGCACTATATTTTTTGACTGCAATTATTTGCTCAATTATGCATTTCCCATGCCTCCTATGTTTTCCTAGGGTGGAGTATATTTTCTCCTTATTGTGAGGTTTGAATGTAACTTACTCTAAAATCTAAGTGCAAGCAACATATGCTACACTCTGTCAGGAGCTTTAAATGTGTTGGAAAAAAAATCAGCATAGTCTCTGATTTCTGTCTTATAAGAGATTACCACATGCCATTTACAAGTTAGCTTGTTAACCTGAGTACCTGAGTAAGAGGATATTCAGAGTAAAGCCAAATTGGAAAGGGCTTAGAGCACACCAAAGCCAAAGTTCTTTAAGTATATCTCCTGTCTTTTAAGTTATTGGAGGTAGCAACTTTAACAAATACTAACACATTAACACAATACAGGTTTCACTTTTCAGTTTCCAAATACTAGTTCATTATAATCAATGTCCCACCCTCAGCATACTATCCACTATGACACAAGAAATGTTTCTATATTCCAAGATATTTCATGAAGATGTGTTGGCAATGGACATAGTTTTGTCGAATGTAATGTGAGATATACCATGAATTTTACCCCAGTAGAAGCTTTAAACACAATCACATGATTAGACTTGGTCCCTACTATTCCTCTGCTCTTTTAACACAATATGCACCCAAAATTAGGTGTTCCTTTGACCTAGGCTGCAGAACGAGAAAACACTTATGTCAAACCATAGCCAAGCTGCAATCCTTAAGTAATATGAAGAAGAAACATACAAGAAATAAATGCTTTTTGTTAAAGTCATTGATATATCACATTTGTGTTTTTTTTTAGCAAAAACTAATACGTTCAGCCAGGTACTTCCTCTTAAGATTAATATTCAAAATCCATACCAACAAGAACTTCTACTGCAGCTAACGAATCATCCTCCCAATCCATATCTTCCTGTTTCTCTTCAGACATCTCCTTAGAGCAACATGAGATAGGATAGAACTGTTTCCATTCACCAATCAATTTTTTTGTAGCTGAATCAGACATCTTGAATGCCTGTCCTGTGAGAGTGCCGTTTAGTCCAAATGGGCTTAGGATAACTAGAAAAAGCAAACATCAAGTAAGTAACTAAAGATGAAACAACGTGGCAGACAATTAACACAATTCTAAAAAAGAAAAGGAATCTCATAATGATATCTGAGAAAGCAAACTTCCTTACTGCGAAGATAAAGTATAAAATTGAATTTATTATAAAACTATTAGGGTTAGTATGTGGTATGGTGAATAAAGACACTGGCAAGGATGCCAGCGTCCCATATGAGTACTAGTTTGGGTTGTAGTTGCTCCACTTCTGATCCATCACCCTGATTATATGTCTCGGAAGGCAATGGAGGATGGCCAGAGAGCTTGGGTCCCTGCAATCCACACAGGAGACACAGATGAAGCTTCTGGCTCTTGGTTTTGGCCTGGTCCTGGCTTAGACAATGTGCTCAGGTAGGGAGTGAACTGGCAGATGGAAGATATTTCTCTCTCTCTCTGTAACTCAGCATTTCAAATAAATAAGTAAATATTATGTTCAAAAAACTGCAAAAATATTTGTCTACTCTCAAATTTCAAACAGAATTTCAATGTGAGCTAGAGATACCTTTTTGTTCTTCAATTTCTCTTGATTCCCACTAAGAAAAAGCAAATTGAGTAAACCACAATGGAAATGTACCAATCTACATGCTAACATTTACTGTCATGCAAATTTTTCAATTAAGCATTATTAAGTTGAAGTAAAATAAGAACATACTTCTAGTCCTCAAAAATAAAGCAACAAGTTTATAAAATACTTCCTTAGACCAAATGTTTGACATGGCAATTAAGATGCAACAAGGATTGTCAGAGTGCTTGGGTATGATCCTGGATCCAGTTCCTGATTCTCTCTGGGAAACAGCAGCTAATGGCTCAATTAGTTGGGTCCCTGACACTCACACAGAAGACACACGATATGTTTTCAGTTTTTGGCTCTGACCCCAACTCAGTTGTGGTTATTATGGGGTATGTGAGAAGTGAAACAATGAATAAGAGGTACCTATTACTCTCATAAAGTAATTTTTAAAAGATCTTGTGCACATATGTTAAACATTACTTATATAAGTGACATACAAAATGATCTTGAAAACATTAACAAGTATACCTTAAATATTTTACTTAAGAGAAAACTTCAGAATATACTAACATGTCCAGGAACTTTCCACATTTTTTTTTTAAATTTATTGGGGCTGGTGCTGTGGCACAGTGAGTTTAGCCATGATCTACAACACGAGCATCCCATATCAGAAAGCTAGCTCAAGTCCCAGCTGCCATGCTTTTATTCCAGCTCCCTCTTACCATGATGGCAAAGCAGTAGAAAACACTTTCTGAGCTCCAGCTACCCAGATATCAGACCTGGAGGAGTTCCAAACCTCTAGTGTTGCCTAGCTCAACCCCAAGTGCTGGAACTATCTGAACAGTGGATCGATGAGTGCAAGCTCAAGCTCTTCTTGTCTCTGTCTTAGCTTCTCTCCATCCCAGTGCCCTTCTCTAATGAACAAGAACAAAGCAGATAACATCTGGATCATTATACTTGGGGGAAATACTATCAATCTCAAAACATAAAATTATCAACTTTAACAAGGACCTTTCTAATACAATAACATTAAAAAATCAATAATTAAGACAATAAAATAATCTACCTTGAAAAGGGCTATTAGACTGTTGAGCAAGGGTGATATGCTCTTCACTGAGAAGGTATACAGGTTGATGTTGGTTAATTTCCACGCTGGTACAAACATTGCTATCTCCATGCAAGAAAAAGGTGAAAGAGCAGGACAAGTGTTCACTAATAAAGAAGAAAAAGTTATATTTTAGTGATAATTAATGGCCAGAATTGTTAACTTTTGTTTAATATGAAGTTATCCAAAACGTTTACTCCCACCAGTCCAGAAATTCTACATCATCTGAAGCCCCACCAAAAACCACATGAATATAAGCATATATTTAGCTTTAAAAAAAATGTTCACATCATTGTTTACCATAAGTCAAAAAGCTGCAAACAGAGGAACCAGTTAGATAAGTCAGCTACACTCTCACACATAATTATCATGCAACTACAAAAATAAGGTTGGGGGAGTAAGCTTATGAGGAAGTGACAAGCTATCAAAATAGTATGGTTTCTTTTTGGGGCGGGGAGAAAAAGAGGGTTTCCTTTGTTAAAAAAAAAAATTCTAGGTAGGCAACAGAATTTATGGATACTTAGTGTTTGATTATTTGACCCTTTCTATACCTAGAAAATCAAATACATTTTTCTCAACATCTCTATTTCTAAACTAGTTTATAAACCAATCAATAATCTAAAATTAGTCCCCTCTAAAATAACAGTTGAAGGCACCCTAAAATCAAGGATAAATGCCAAACAGTACATTCTGGTTTTTAGAAAGATTTATTTATTTTCATTGGAAAGTCAGATATACAGAAAGGAGGAGAGACAGAGAGGAAAATCTTCCATCCAATGATTCACTCCCCAAGTGGCCACAATGGCTGGAGCTGAGCCAATCCAAAGCCAGGAGCCAGGAGCTCTGCAGATATTTGGAGACTGAGCCAGAAGATGGGAAAGGGAAAGGTCCCTCTCTGCCTCTCTCTCATAAATACAATTTAAGAGCACAATTTATTTATTTACTTGAGAAAATAATCTGGCATACATAAAACTCATCAAGGTAAATCTTTCAACTCCCCAGTAGCCTTTCCATATGCACCATCAATATTCGACCATTTTAACTTTCAAATTAGGAAAGAACACTTGTCTCCTTGATGAGAAGCAATAAATTTGCCTCCAAGATCTTTGTAAAAAGCTCAGTATTTCAAAGTAGAAAACATGACTGCTGCTCTCAGCACCATTTAGGTGCATTGTTCTACTCTGCACCAATCCTTTTCAATTTCAGGAGTTGTTGATCGAAGAACTTCACTTCCTATACCCCAGCAAATTATCCCCCACAAAATCTAATCTTATTGCAATATAAAGTAGGTTAGAATGAGAGCAGGCATTTGGTGTTTAGCCTATTGGCCATGATATCCACATTCCATATCAAAGCTGCCAGGTTCAAATTCCATTCCAGAGTCCAATTTCAGCTTTCTGCCAATAAAGAAGTTCCTGAGGCTCACATGGGAAACCTGGACTAGGCTCCTTGCTCCAGGTTCTGGCCTAGTCTGTTAGATGCATGAAGTTAGAGAGTAAACCAACAGATGAGTGCTCTCGCCGTGTGTTTGTTCCTTCATATATTTAATAACATGCTGGAATATTACTTTAGATACACTGAATTAAATAAAATATATCATCAATATCAATCCCAAAGGCTTGGCAGTGTGGCAAGCTGAATCACTGCTTGCTATGCCAATTTCCCATTATTAGACTGCCAGTTTGAGTGGGCTCTAGGTTCTTGCTCATGTACTGAGTGAAGAAGGCAACATAAGACAGCCCAAGTACCTGGATCAGTGAGGGAGGACAGGATGAAGTTCCTAGGGCCTGGCTTTGTTTTTGGCAGAGTCTAGATACAACCACTGTAGCAATTAAGGGAGTGAATTAGAAGATGGGAGAGCTCTTTCACTGTATCTCCCTCTCTGTCATTCTGCCTTTCAAATAAACATCCTTTTTAAAAATTAATTTCAACTGGATATTGAGGTTTTCCCTTTAATGTGTCTATTAGAACATTTAAAATTACATATGTAGTTTACATACTGTATTTCTACCGGACAGTGACTCTCTAGAAAACAAAAAGAGCAGTACTTAGAAAACATATCTCTAAATAAGGTTCTTAGCAAAGTTTGGGTTTTCAGAGTTAAAAGGAATACAACAGGATATCCTAAAACTACGAACAGCTACTAATACACTTCCAATGTAGACTTACACCTCATTGTACTTAAATTAATTTTAGATTACATAGAAGCCCTATTTGTGGCAGAAGGTAAAGGCTTTATAGGGAAATTTAAAGCATATTCTTTCACCTACTGTCTTTAAAAAATGACCACCTTCTTTAGTGCAATATCAAAGGTATTGTTTTAATCATAAAGGTAAAAGCTCTGGTATAAGCAATACTATCTAAGAGAACATTCTGCAATAATGAAAATGTTCTATATCTGCACTGACTATTAAATAGCCATTGGTCATACAAGAAGCTCTTGAAATGTGAAATGTGAGACTGAGCAACTCAATGTTTATTTAATGTAAATTAACTAACTTCAGTCATTAGTGCCTGGTGGCTACCATATCAGATAGCACATATAAAAACATTTTTTAAAGGGAAAGAAAGAGTTAAATCTCACATGTTAATTACAACTAACTGGGAACAAGTACCTAGGGAAGCATTCATTTCTTTCCTGGGAAATCTATTACCTCATTTCACAAAGTCAAAAAATATATATCTTTTTTTTTAATTTACTTATTTTTATTGAAAAAGCAGATTTAAAGAGAGAAGGAAAGACAAAGATCTTCCATCTGCTGTTCACTCCCCAAGTGGCCAGAATGGCCAATCCAAAGCCAGGAGTCAGGAGTTTCTTCCAAGTTTTTTCTCTGGGTACAGGGTACCAAGGCTTCAGTCCATCCACAACTGCCTTCCCAGGCTACAAGCAGAGAGCTGAGGGCAGAAGGGAAATGAACTGGCACCATATGGAATCCTGGTGCATACAAGGGGATGACTACTAGGCTACTGCACCGGGCTCAAAAATCTCTCAATCTTAATGGCCCAGGTTTTTTCTTTGTTTGTTTGTTTTTCCTAATAATTTCAGGACTCAGAACATACTGAACCAGACATCTGATCCCACCACCTTAAGGTTATTTTCAGCTCCAGCAAGAATTTACATATCTAATATGTATGTATGTACACATGTGAATATCTGTCTGTGATCTATATGAATAGGTACACATATGCTTGATACGCCCTTTCAAACTGGGGTTTAAAATGAACTATCTTTTACAGAATAAAAGTATCTAAAATCATATACCAACTCTGCAACTTTTTTCTGTAGAAATTTATCATTATCTGTAGTTGTGGCAACAGGTAAGATTACAGTATATACTAAAGCGATGGTATTATAGCACAGCAAAGAAAGCCGCCTCCAGTGACACTGGCATGTCACGAGCACCAGTTCGAATCCCAGCTGCTCCACTTTTGATGCAGCTCCCTGTTAGTAACCTGGAAAGAGGAGCAGAGGACTGCTCAAGAGTTTGTGGTCCTGCCGCCAACATGGGAGATTTAAAAGAAGATCCTAGTGGCTGCAGTCATCTCAGAAGTGAATCAGCAAATGGAAGACTTCTGTCTATCTTTTTGTCTCTCTGTAACTGATTTTCAAACAAATAAATAGATCTTTTAAATACTAAAATTAAACATGTTCCCTATTAATGTATTTATTTCCTATACAATCTCATTTGCCACTTAGCAAAGCCTTTTCTATCTGTAATACACACTATTAGACATACTGAACTAATGTCAGAAACAATAGTGAAGCATTTAAAACTCTGGCTGGAATGGACAGTTAGGCCAGCAGTTAAAGCACTGCTTAAGAAGCCTGCATCGGGCCCAGCATGATAGTGTAGCGGTAAAAGTCCTCACCTTGAATGCACCATATATGCAGGATCATATATGGGCACCGGTTTTAAACCTGACAGCCCTGCTTCCCATCCAGCTCCCTGCTTGTGGCCTGGGAAAGCAGTCGAGGAGGGCCCAAATATTGGGGACCCTGCACCCGTGTGGGAGACCCAGAAGAAGCTCCTGTTTCTGGCTTCAGATTGGCTCAGTTTTAGCCATTGCGGTCACTTGGAGAGTGAACCAACGGACGGAAGATCTCCCTCTCTGTCTCTCCTCTCTGTACATCTGCCTTTCCAATAAAAATAAATAAATCTTTAAAAAAATAAATAGGGCCCGGCGCGGTGGCACAGTGGTTAAAGGTCCTCGCCTTGCACGCCCGGGATCCCATATGGGCGCCGGTTCTAATCCCAGCAGCCCCGCTTCCCTTCCAGCTCCCTGCCTGTGGCCCAGGAAAGCAGTCGAGGATGGCCCAAAGCTTTGGGACCCTGCACCCGCATGGGAGACCCAGAAGAGGCTCCTGGCTTCGGATCGGCATAGTATCGGCCCGTTGCGCTCACTTGGGGAGTGAATCATCAGACGGAAGATCTTCCTCTCTGTCCCTCCTCTCTGTATATCCGCCTTTCCAATAAAAAAATAAATAAAAATAAATGTACCACAGTCCTTCCTTATCCAAGAGCAATACTTTCAGCAAATAATGCTGAATTCTATATATATATAATACTTCCTTTCCCTGTGCATAAACACTTACTGTAAGTTTTAACTCATAAATTAGGTATAATAAGATTGAGAATTAATACAAATTGTCCCTCATTTTAAGTTGGTCCAATTTAAGATTTTTTAACTTTATAATACTATAAAATGATGGGCATTCAGTGGAAACCATATTCCAAATTTTGAGTTTTGATCTTTTCCCAGATGAGTAACAGGCAGTACAAAATTCTCCGGAGATGCTGAGCAGCGAAGGGTAAATAACCAGCACTGTGCAGTACACTATATTGGCAGCATTTTCTGGATAAAAACATTTAGCTACTTTTATGATATCCAGTACTTAATTACAAAACAGGCAATGGGTTAGATTACCTTGTTCAATACAGAATAATGCTAAGCTTTAAGGCTAGGCTATGTTTGCTAGTTTAGATATATTTAATCCATTTTTGACACATTGTTTCCAACCTGAACTGAGTTTATCAAAACCTTATCACAAGTCAACTTGTAATAAACATAACAGATATGAGAATACACTGTAATAAAAATTACATGAACGTATTCTCTCAAAATATCTTTACTGTATTTTGACCTTTTCACTTGAAGAAAGCATTTCATTCTTTTCTTAAGCGCAGACTGCCACTTTCACTACTCTTCCATTTTGGGACCATTAATAAGCAAAGTAAGGGTAACCTGAACACAAGCACACAACACTCGATCTGATAACCAAGACCACCACAAAGCAGGTAGCAGTAACAGACATGCTGAACAAAGGGATTCACTTAACGAGTAGCAAGACATGAGGCACCAGAAGTTTCTTCACATTGCTCAGAATAACATGCAATTTAAACTTTTAAATCTTATGTCTGGAATTTTCCATTCTGTATTTTCAGAGCACAGCCGACCACAGGAAATTGAACCATGAGAAACTACTGTATATGGCAGATGTAGCTGTTACTCATTTTCCCTTCTTCTAACTGTCTATCCAATTTAAAAGGGGGGGAATATAAATTTATTTTTAATTGGAAAGTGATTTATAGACAGGAGGAGAGACAGAAAGATCTTTCACCCACTGTTTCACTCCCCAGTGGCCAAAACAGCCAGAGATGAACCCATCCAAAGCCAGAAGCTTCTTCCTGGTCTCCCACATGGGTGCAGGATTTCAAGGCTTTGGCCGTCCTCCTCTGCTTCCCAGGCCACAAATAGGGAGCTGGAAGGGAAGTGGAATAGCCGGGACATGAACCAGCATCCATATGGGATCCTGGCACATGCAAGAAGACTGTGGCCACTAGGCTATCATGCTAGGTCCTTTCCCTTTCTTCTTAAGACAATAGCCCTCTTCTGTTTACAGTGGTATGTTTCCAACTAAAAAATACTTAATCTGTCAGGACAGCCAATAACCTATCAACTCCAGTTTCTAGGAAATATGTACTTTGTGACACAGATGCCATTTCCATTTACTTCCCATCTTCCATCCTCTTCTTGCATGGAACTCAACTGTAAGATCCGGAAGCTTAATACTCATTAGGATCTTGGAAGACAAAAGATACTTGGAATCTTGATAACATCACTGAACATATGCACCAGGACTGAAATACCTACTTCTGGACTGCCTACTATTAAGAAAAAAAATCAGTCAATCTTGACATAAGCCAGGTAGCCAGGTTTCCTGTCATTTGCAGAGGAATTAATTCCTCACTGGTATACTTAATTATTATGTTAAAATACAAATTAATACTAATTTTCAGAGAAAAACATGAAATTGTTTTTATTTCTCAAAGTTTATCTACTCATCCACTTTACAAAACAAAAAGAAAAGCTTAAAAAACCCTTCAGGCACACATAAAAAAAAAAAAGATGTACATAGGGCCAGCACTTTGTACAGGTGGTTAAGACACTGTGATGCAAGGATCAAATATGGGTACCAATTTGTGCCAGAGTTGCTCCATTTTTGATCTAGCTCCCTGCTAATGAGCTCGGAAAAGCATTGGAAGATGGCCCAACTGCTTGGGCCCTGGTCACCTGCAGATGCAAAAGAAATTCCTGGCCCTGGCCTGGTCCAGCTCTGGCTATTACAGCCATCTGGGGAACCAGTGCATGGAAAAATTCTCTTTCCATCTTTCCTTCTCTCTCTCTCTCTCTCTTTCAAATCAGCAAACTTTAAAAACAAAACAAAAGTGTACATGATATGAAAGATGGCAGCTCAACCATGTTTACAATTATGAACAAACATTTCTTTTGAATTCACTTACATTTTTCAGGAAAAGCAAATTCCCTTCAATTTTCTCTTCTCCCACATCGTACATTACTTACCACGGTTTATCTTGAAGTGTTACTAATTCAACAAATGCTTGACACTGAATCTTTTGACAGACTATGTTTTACATTATTTACATCATAGAGAAGTAGCATAACCTGAAGCTTTTACAGGAAAAGGAGGCACTTATCTTAAAATCTTCTAAACTTCATTTGCAATCACTGTACTAATTAGCATCATAAATTTGCTCAATTAAAAAAAGTGCAAGCTCTGCAAGAATTATATAAGAATTATGTTTATCTTAAAAAAAAAAGAATTATGTTTATCTTATACAGAAAAACAAACTCAAATCATTTCAATAAAAGCAAATTCAAAGACTGGATAATAAAACGAGTTATCTTCACACAAAACATAATCACTATCTTTGACAGATGTTAATACTACTTAATGTTACCAGACTACTTCACACATATTTCCACTAGTTCTAAAACAATGTATTCCTCCGTTTTTGTTCAACAATTTCTCTACAGATCCAAATCAAAATTTAGGCCACTACACTAAAATACAGCCTATTTACATTGTAACATAATCTTCAGACTCTGTGAAGGGAAGAGTGAAACAAAGAAAGCTGAATACTCTTCTTCACCAAAGTTAACCTCCAAAGTATGTCTGGGATGTATTACCTTATTTCATTCCATATTCTCTGTGAAGTCATAAGAACTAACAAATCTAAGTGAAAATTCAAAGTTTAAGATACTTACCTTTTATTTATAGGTTTTTCATCTTTTTCATAAGGCTTTACAAACCACTTGCCAATCCTTACAAAGTTTCGGTTCATTAAACACCGTTCTAACAGATTGTGAACTGCTTTGAAAAGCAAAGTACGGCATTCATAGGAAAGCCCATTTTCCCAAACTCCATCTTCCTCTTCTAAAAGAGAAAAAGAAAGTAGCGGCACTGTATTTAGAACCAAGTAAAAATGTTGACAATTTAAACTGCATACCAATTAAACAGGAAAGATGCTGTGGTATTGCATGTTAACCTGCTACTGGACATTCAAGTAACATTGCAGAGTGCTAAGTTTGAGTCCTGGCTACCCAGGTTCTCATCTAGCTTCCTGCTAAGCCATGCTGGGTAGCAGTAGGTGATAACTGAAGTTCTTCGGTTCTTGCCACCCATGTGGGAAACCTGGATGGAGTTCCAGGCTCCTATCTGCAGCCTGGTCAAGTCCAGGCTGTTGTAGGTATTTGGGGAGTATTTCAGCAGATTAGAAGACTTCTCTCTCTGCAATCCCTGATCGTTCTGTCATTCCAGTGGATCAACAACGTTAAAAAAAAAAACCTTCAGCTCAGCATTACTGAGCTACACATACTTCAATGTTTCTCTAAATATTAAAACATATTTCAAAGTTATTCCACAAAGAATCAGACCTGTCAGTGCATTCTATCAAACTATGTGAAAATTATTTTTTCTATCATATAAAAAGGTAGTAAACAAAAGGAAAAAGGTAAACATAAACATAAAGATTTTGGGACCTGGCACAGTAGCTTAATGGCTAAAAGTCCCTGCCTTGCACGCACCGGGATCCCATCTGGGTGCCAATTTATGTCCCAATGGCCCTGTTCCCATCCAGCTCCCTGCTTGTGGACTGGGAAAGCATTCAAGGATGGGCCAAAGCCTTGGGACCCTGCACCAGCCAGTTAATAATTAAGCTCAAAATATTTCATGTCCATCGGCATTCTAATCTATGGCTCAACTATAAAACTAAGTGATGAATAAAAAGGAAGCTACTGGCATAGAGCCTACAAAGCAGCACGTTATCAGCCACCTAAGATCTCCTTTCAAACAAACCAGTCCTATGGTTACTATGCAGTATAGGATCCTCTAGTGAAGAAGGTATTTTAAAATTTAAGAACTTAAAAATTTTAAATGGCACTTCTGTCATATAGAGTTACAACTTTTTTCACTAACTATGCAGGCTAATTTTTGCCAACAAATCTATTAATCATTCCAAATTAATATACCAGCAAGATTAACAGTCATTTTGGGATATATGAATGTAGCTTAGCTCTTTATTTCCCATCTGTAACAGAGTACACAATAAATTTTGTTCCAAATAATGATAGCTACCACTTAAGAATCTCAACTTTGAGTCTAATATTTTAAGTTCCTTAACAGACATAGACATATTATTACATATCCTTCTTTAACTTGATATCCCTTTATAACTATTTCCTAAACATAAGTCACTTCCAATTCAATTTTTATGTAGGAGAAATGACAATACATTTCTCAGTTCGATACTAAAAATGTATACATAGATTACTACTCAGAGGAAAACAGATACACCAGCTTTTCAATAAAAGCGGAGACATGTGTTAAGAGTAACACACAGTTCACATTCAGAACCTAAAAACACAAATGGGTAGAATAAACATTAACTAAAAAAGCCTAATGACAGTGGACTTTAACTGCACTAGAAACCATGTACCACTACAAAGGTTAATGTCAATTTCACACTGTTCTTTCAAGCGTTGTAAATTATACGTCTTTCAAAGCAACTTTTTTTCCCTATGATAAGGTAAACCCATTTAAGAACAGATAATATGTGAAGCAATTTTAAAAATCAAATAGGGCACATCTTCAATTTCATTCTCTTGGAGATATTTTTGTACACTTTCATTTAAAGCGAAAACATTCACTGAATTAATTCTATTAAAACATTAAGCTAAAAGAAAAGGGAAGTAACAGTGATTTCATTTTAACTAAAGTTCTAGATCATAAGCATATTTGTGACACTGAAAAAAAAAAGAACTTTTCACAATCAACCTCTCTCAGCTTTATGAGGTCTTATTTCAAAATTAAATAGTTTACACATTAAGATATTTAACTTAAATTATGTGCCTTACTACACAACCACACATGTTCCTAATTCTGGCAGAAGTACGTTGGGGGTATCTCCCAATTGTTCACTTCTTCAGATCTTTATGATTTATCTTCTACGCTTTATTCTTATTATCTTTCACACCAAAAGTCTACCCTTCAAGTACAGTAGCTTCAACATCTATCTTAAGTTGCCATTTCCAAATATTTTTCCTAACCACATGCAAGTTTTAAAGCTTCAAAGATCCAAGATATAGTTTCTATCACACACATCAAAGCTATACAGTTATAAACACCAAAACTTAAAATTTAAGAATGAATCTGTCTTCTTCCTAACACTGTAAATTTAAAAATCTTTGGAACAATAAAATGTGTAACATAATCTATTAATTTTCAGATAAAATTATGAAGTTTCATGGTTTATTTTAAAAACTCATTTTAATCCTAGTAATATAACATTAAATCTAGCTTAGAAAAGTAATTGGTATTTTAAAGTATTTCTCCCTCATTACTGTGAAACTGTTAGACAAATTAAGATGAACTACATACTTCAAGTGAGTCTTGAGTCTCTGCCTCAAATGCCCACAATTCTCATTAAGATTAAACAGAAGTTGTATATATAAAAAAAAGTACAGACAACATACTGTGGTTTTTTTTAAGCCAATAAATCTCTGAAATGTTATCTTTAGCTATACATAAAGTGGTTAGCAATCATGAGGCTAAAGTGACAGAACCTCATTTTTCAATGCTGAGAAAATAAGTCAATGAAATGGATGTTGGTTTGATTTTAACAGTGTTGAAGGGGAAGCAGAGGAAGTGTGTTACGGAGAAAAAGTCTACTGAGCCAATCTTCTAACTTCGATGTTGCAATAACCTTAAGAAAAACATTTCTTACTTATTTTGTTCAGAAATATAGAAAGTGAAGTAATAATGCCAACCCACTCAAGACTAAGTGATAGGTAAGCACTGTGAACCAGCAGGTTAAGCTGCCTCTTAGAGGACACTCACAACAGTTTCAGATCAGGTTCCCTACTAATGTGCCTGAGAAGGCACAGAACTGCTTGAATGGTTGGCAAGAAGCCACCCACTGGGAGACCAGAATGGAGCAGGCTCTTGGCTTTAGCCTTTGAGAGTGAGGAATAGATACATGATCTTTCTTTTTCTCTTGACTGCATTTCAAATAAATAAAACTTTAAGACAGTAGTGCACAAATCTAATTAAAATGGTCCTTGAATCTCAATACCAGCTTTAAAATAGGAAGAGGACAGAGACAGGAATGCAGGGCAAACCAAACCTTCATTCAGTTCTTCTGAGCTTAATCAGTGATGGCCTAATGAAAAAAGTCTGCTTAATTAAAAAATTTCTTCCTCTTTTTGCTTTTTCCCCAGAGAACCTCAATTCAACATTTTTAGTACTTTTCTGTTGTTTTAACTTTAGAACTCTCAATCTTCAATGTGACTCGAGAATCTTCACCAAAAATTTGCAGAAAATATCACTAAAATTTAAATACTAAATTTGATAAACATAGTTTTTCCTGAGGATACAGAAGATGGTGGTATGAAGGTACGTGCTAAACAATCCAAATAATTTTTTACTGAAGAGGGGAGGAAAAGTCAAAAATGGTTGATACAGCCATTAATCAATTTTTTTCTTTTTTTTTTATCATAAACTCAAAGTTTGTGAATGATATCAATTTTGCATTAAAAAAAATTACTAGGAAGTGAGAGGTGATGCTGGAAAAAGTAATTGCTAGGGAAAGGAGAAACATACGTTGAATTTTGCCTGAAAGTTTTCAAATCATCAACAAGAGCATCATTTTAAGAGTCTGAAAATTTTTTCTTAAAATTGACATCTTTAGGGTCCACAGTAGCCTAGTGGCCAATCTCCTCGCCTTGCACGTGCTGGAATCCCATTTGGGCATGGGTTCATATCCCAATTGCTCCCAATTCCTTTCCAGCTCCCTGCTTGTGGCCTGGGAAAGTAGCAGAGGATGGCTCAAAGTCTTGGATTTTGCAATCACGTGGGAGATCCTGGCTCCTGGCTCTGGATAGGCTGTTGTGGTCATTTGGGGAATAAACCATCAGATAGAAGATATTTCTTTCTGTCTCTCCTTCTCTCTGTAAATATGATCTGATAAAAATAAAGTAAATCTTTTTTAAAAACAGCATGGGTGTGGAGTGGATTTGCAACAATATCACATATCGGTTAACCCCATAATGTTGGAAACGGTTGTTGATGTTATGTTATGACATTTAATTGGTCGGAACGATAATCTGCCAGCTATGTCTCCAGACCAGAGTTGATCTCCTCAAGAAACTGTTGAATTCAGCTGGGCAATAAGATACTGGACACTATGCAAGGCACATGCTTGCACTGAAAGAAACAAGACTAGATTTGAACTGTAATACTGCAACAAGGTAGAGCAATCCACCATGGGAGGGAGGGCAAGGGGAGAGGAAGGGGGAACATCAGAGCCTATGAAATGTTGTTATAAAATTAAATGCAATAAAAAAAAAATATATCACATATCAGAACATAGGTTCAGGTAATGGCTGCTCTACTTCTGATCCAGCTTCCCACTGATGTGCCTAGGAAGGCAGTGAAAGACAGCAAAAGGTACTTGGGTGACAGAACTCACGTACGTATGAAGTTCAGGGCTCCTGAGTTCAGCCTGGAACAGTCTATCCGTTATGGCCAATTGGGGAGTAAAGCACCAATGGAACATACCATCTCCCTGCCCCCTCTGCACGTCCAATGAATGAACATATAAACCTTTTGAAAGAACAGCTTAGTATGTTGTCAATTTTTGATTTGAAATCTTCTAAGACAAAATTTAATGCTGAAAAGGTGTAGTCAACAGAAAAAATATAGCAAGTGAACTGATCACCTAGAAAACTAGCAATACTAAGAACATTGTTTTAAAAATTTCATTAACAGATAATAAAAAATGAATTAATTTTTTGTAATCTCTATGGTTACAAAACAATGTTTTAACTTGGCTAGCATTAGAATCCCACACTTAACTGTTGGTTATCTATTTGTTGATC